CCCCCTCCCCTCTAGAACCCTGTTTGTTTTTCAGAGTCCATCGTCTCTCATGGTTCGGTATTATGTTGAGTGAAATAAGTCAAACAGAGTTTGTTTGTTTTTAAGAGGTGGTTAAAAAGAAGAAGAATATGCAACAAAGAACCTGTTTGGTTTGCAAAGCCTAGAATATTTACTAATCTGACCCTTTCCGGAAAAAGTCTGCCTACCTGAGTAACAGAATCATGGGTTCAAATAACCAGTGATATCCTAGGACAGTCAACCACCATGATAAGATGATAGAACCAAAGGGCACAAAAACACTTGAAATATTACTTTAATGCTTTACTTTAATGCTTTAATGCTCTGGGCATTTTAAACATTCATAAAATCACCTTATTTCAGAATTCATTTCCTCTTAGGTACAGATTCTGTGTCTAGGATCAGAGACAAGTGTATCACTGAATTTTCTCCACAGCACCCACATGCTGCAGGGGACCTACTCTGGCCCCTGGTCTTCTCCAGCAGAGTCCCCCCCCACCCCCACCCCCACAACAGGGCTGGATCCACACCTGCTTGACACAACCTTGGCTGTCAATGGAAACATACTCTGTAGCTTTGCTGCTGCTTGCAGATTCTGTGGATCCCATACATTTCCGACACTACCAGATATTCCAAGTCTGGGATAATCACCCTGAGGTGCTAGTGAAACAGCAAGTCAGCCGGTAAGCATGCCAGTATCTGCTGCACGGAATCATACAGACACTGAGGCACTTCAATGTTCTGGGTAAAAGCGAGTTTATAATTACCACAGGAGTTGAGAGTGAGGGAAGGGGCTTTCCTCTCAGTAATGAATACCCTTAACACATATTTAGCAGATTTATAAATTCCTGTCTGTTTACATTTGTTGTCAAGACTTCACAAACTAAGGAAATGAAAGCGTATTTTGAGTTTACAAATCTGGGACAAGAAGCAAAAAGAGAACATGCTTAGACAGCAGTTGCCTGTACCATGAATACGTAGGTCAACACGTTGACCAACAACACGGTCATTCTTAAAGAAATGCCTGTCCTTCCAAAAGGAACTTTTAAAAAAAGTCCTAGGCCTTATTTGATTACTCTAAGGTAACAATGTGTTTTTCCTTCCTTCTCAAGCAGTGGTTCAAGGCATCTGAAAGAAAACTGATGCCTCAGGTTTCTGATTTCATTCGTCAGAGGTGGGAGAGAAAGAGAGGGTACAGAAACCAACATTTTTAAAAAGGTTCTCAAGTGATTCCAGCATATAGTCAGCACGGAGAACCTTGGTACCACAGGTTCTTGAGTCTTCCTAATCTCACCTGTCCTCACTAAAAATCCTTGAGGTAGTCCCCGGGTCAGGCAACAATCTCTTCCATGAGGTAAGAAACCAAGGCACAGAGAGGTTAACGGGATCATCTCACACTGTGCGGCCAAATGACAGCGCCAAGATGGGAATTAACATCTCCAAATAAAGAACACCTCCTCCCCCAGCAACTGGCGACACGTACGCATACTGCACGTATAAAGACTGAGGAGCGAGGCATGACCATCTGTGCCAAGGGTATCATGGAAGGGTAAGGAACAGTTCTGAGCCAACCATCCCACCCAATCAAAACTAAATGCATAAAACAGATACTTATTTGAAACTATGTGAGGAATGAAGCATAACTTTCTTTTTAAAGCCTTACTTCCCTCACATATATGCCAGTGATTTATGTTTCTTAGAAAATCCATCAAGATCCATGGACTTGCAACATCTAAATTCTTAGCTCTGTCACTGTAAGAACTAGAAAACTCTCAAATGTCCCTTTAATTCAGGTCCAAAAGATCATTACAAATCTATGTTCACATGTGATAGCATGACAAAAACCTCCATGCTTTCCCCGTCACCAGTCCACAGAGACTTCTCAAGGACTCAGTATCTTACACTTTCTAGAAGGGTGTGCACCTTGTCATGATCCGCTCAAAGTCCCCAAACACTAACCCAACAGTGCTGGGCTTCCACGATTGACTTTCACTACTGACTGTTTTTATTTTGCTCTGGATGCAAAGTTTATTATCTATATTGTGGGTAACCAGAATATTTTGTAATTCCAAATTCACAGAAGAGCCAAACCAGTTGGGCCGTTCTCCTTCACCCCGACATAATGCCACCACATCCTACACCCACTGCTGCATCTATGAAATACTCCTTATTCCTTTTTTCACTGTAAGCTCCCACATCTCATCATGTTTCAGGAGGCACTGCTCTTTTCTCTTTTTAGAAAAGTCTCCCTGACTGCAGAACTGTTGTCTGGTGCCACATAGAAAGAATAATGGAGCACACATATACACAAAGGAAGAACACAGCACTCTACTGGACAGGAGGCCTGCTGTGGTTCCCAGTACATTCTAAGAAGGACCTGTTCATTCAGCTCACAATGAACACAAGTAGCATCTTGTTCTTCCCACTGCTAGTGATGTAGCCTCCTAAAAAATCTACAGAACATTTGATCCAGTAAGTGGAAACTACACCTAACAGGACACATTTGTTGACTTATAAGATGCTGTGTGGAGCTCTGAAACCACGTCTTTTCCGTTTTAGGAGACTCCCCCATTCAGGCCAGACATACACTCATTTAGACCCTCGCCCTGATGTGAAGAGGCACAAACAAGCAGATAATCCTGGGACAATACCTGCCCTTCCAGCTCCTGCAGAAGGTGCTTCGAGGGCAAGAAAATGGGGGAGAGCAACCTGTGTCTGGGGCAGTGCCACCTGGTGTGTGTGTGTGCGTGTGTGCATGTGTGTGTGTAATTCTACTCCTGCCCCCTAGAGCGGGTTTTCCAAAAGTTAAAACAACAAAAAAGCGAACAAAAGGGAACTTTGCAAAAGTGCATGTAGAATTCTGGTTAAAACAAAGATAACTGAGAATCATAATATTTCAAAGACCCACCACACCCAACTATTAAGTAAAGCAAGACATCGTGCTTTTTGTTTTTGTTTTTCTCTCTCATGCTTATTTGATGCTTATGGGTTTGTGGCAAACTTGCTGCTTGGTTTCTAAAACATGCACAGAGCAGATCGAGAGCAGCATTTGCTGTTTTGGTGCCCAGCCCACACCAATCCTGACAGGTGATTGACCAAACGCGTTCAGGAACATGAGGAGGCAAGCCCCCTTTGCTGTGAGTGGCGCCCAGCACAAAACCAAGGACTGTTGGTGCATGCTTGTCCAGAGCTTCAAGGGCAGGGTGTTGTGGAGAGGGATGGGCAGGGAACACGTTGGCAACCTCCCAAGTGCTCTAACATCCAATCCCTGTCCCAGACAGAGGGTTGCAGCTGGGCAGAGAGCTAAGGCACTAAGGCTGCAGCAGGTGGAAAGACACCAACCAAAGGTCCAACAGTCTCAACCCTCAGGGAGGAGAGGCGCTGCTCACAATGCTGCCTTGGGATAAAAATTAGATTTTTTTAAAGGGTGAGAACGTAAAATAATCAAATCCCTGTCTTTTTCCCTTAGAAGAATATTTTGCTCTCCCCTCAGAGAAATTTGCTTCAGTTTTCACATCTCCATAGCAGTGCTGAGAGTGCCCCCTGGGAACCCCTGAGCCACCACTCTTTGGGGAAGTGGCCTTTTCTTCTTGTGTTCCCCCTTGGGTCACGGCTTTGCCGGTTTGCCTCTCTTTCTCCAGTCCCGGCTTGGTAATGAGCAATCCTGACATTTCACCTTCCCCTGGAGCGTGAGCTCGTGCTTCTTCTGAGGCAGCTCTGAGCACCTCCCTCGGTCACAGCTTGATGAACGCAGCCAGCTGCACGTGCTGTGGCTCCGCGTCCGGGGGCGGGAAGACACTGGATATGGCTATGTCCACGATGCCCTGGCACAGTTCTGCATAAAGCTTCCTGCAACGTGTTTTAAAGAGTATCACTGAAGATGTTCCTCAACATGCACATGAAAAGTCAGTTTTTTTCACCAGGACCTGCCCTAGATGTTCCACCTCATGACCAAATTCATAGAACTGGTTTCCATGGTACATACAAATGCTGCACAAAGATCAAGCATCCCCTGAACAAATATTTCTGGAAGGTCTCAGGTGAATAGACAAATGACTCCTGCTCTCACTGGCAGGGAAGACGGGCAATTTCAATCGAGTGTGAGAGCCATCTTGCCTGTCTGTGGTGGGGATACTTGGAGGGAGAGCACCTTCTCAGCGTGGCTGAGGAAACTCTAGGAGAGACTCTCCAGGGTGACAAATAAGCTGAGACCTGGGGAATGAGTGAAGTCAGACAGTGGATGACAGGGTAGAAAAGAGGAGGGAGAGGAGAGATACACCCAGAGAGACAGAAGGAGGGGGGAAGGAAGAAGGGAGGAGGAGGAGGAGGAGAGAAAGAGTGTGTTGGGGGAGGGGGAGAAGACGGGCTGTGCCAATGGCAGGAGCAGTGCACACTGAGAGTGGATTTTATTGGGGCAAGAGCAGAAGGGGAGGTCCCCGTTAGAAGGCTCTCTGCAAAAGCCTCCACAGTGATGGAGGACGACCTGTGGGAGGGCGACAGTGGGGGCGGACAGCAGAGGCTGCCAAGGCTGGAGGCTGAGCTGACAAGGTCCCAATGCACAGAACCTGAGGGTAATGGAAAGAAGGAGGCTGGATCTTGATCAGGATTCCAGCTTAGATTCTGTGGGGAGGGGAGGTAGACATCCACAGAGTTGGGCGAGTCTGGGGCAGGGGGTGCCTCTTAGACATCCACAAACATCCTTGTAGGACGGTGGGCAGGCAGGTGTGGACACTGGTCTGGAACTCTGGGCTGTGATGTAATTTGATGGTTTTAAAATTATGAAATTGAATAAGATCACATTCAGAGAAAGTGCAGTGGAGAGAGAAGACAAACACCCAAGACTGAGGCACTGATTGGGGTCCGCTGATGAAGAGCAAGAGGCCAATCTTGCCCACACCTCCTCAGTCGAACCTTTCCAGTAGAGAGTGTGCCCGAAGCCCCAGCAGAAGAGCATCCCAGCAAGGTGTGAGCAGCTGCTTCAAATGCTGCTGAGAGGTCCAGGGATGTCTGCACAGAAAGGGGCCACTGCACTTGGCAATGTGGACTTAGCTGGGGACCTTCAAAGAACAATTTCTATGGGGTGGAGGGGATGGCATCCAGCCCAGAATGGACCACAGCATGGATGAGGATAGAGGAAGAGGGGACAGCCTGAGAAGACACTGCTTTCCAGAGTTTGGTTGTGACAGGAGCAGGAGGAGGAATCTCTGCAGCAGGATGTGGCATCAGGGGAGGGAACTTTTTCACCAGCTGGGGAAATCTGCTGCATGTGCACATGTTGATGGGAACCCCGAAGAGGGAGCAAGGTGGGAGAGGGTGACACTGTGAATGAGGAAGGCAAAGGGACATGGGACAGGAAGAGGGGTGGATAGGGCATAGAGCACAAGGGAAGACTGAACCTTTATTAGAAGGACAGGGGAAAACAGGCACGCTGCTGTGGGTTTGGGGAAGGGAAGATGTGAGCCATCCTGCTCACCTCTCTTCCCTCCTTCCGACTCAGTTCCAAACGCCACGGCTCAACAGCAGCCCTTTGCTCAATGATACTACCTTTAACATCCTTTATGAAGGATAAAGCATGTCCCAGTTTGTAAGCTGTATTTGTCTGGTCCTTTGTCATGCCCACAGTCTCTCTAAGGACAGGGCCTGTCTCTGCTCAAGACTGTGACCCAGGCCCCATTATGAGGCCTGGCAGACTGGAGGTGCTAATGAATACTGGTTAGCTGAAGGGACTGCCGAACGAGATGAATCACACCTGCCATGTCACAGCCACTGAGCAAGTGGTAAAGGCCTGGCTCCTAATGAAAGAGCTACTTGTGTGTTAACGCTGCCCCTTGTAGGTCCAGGACTTTTTCCGGAACCTGTGGATGATCACCTCAATTCCTTCAAGACATGGATGTGGGGAACCATGAAGGGGTCTTGACCTGATGAAAGTGAATCTTTAGAAGAACCAGCAGGTTTCGAGGATCATGTCCAGGGGACTTCCCCTAACTTCTAAGGCCTCCATGAGGCTTTC